AATGTTCTTGCTACCACTTTTAAATCTATGCAGGCGAGAGCGGTGAGGATGATGATCCGGACGCACTCAATGCTGTATCAGGTAGGTGGTTATTTCTGGCTGTTCAGGTTAAACGACCCATACGGTAGAAATCTGGAGCGTGTATATATACAGTCGTGGCGTAAGGGTTGTAATTTTAGTGAGTGTGCACTCTGCCCTAGTTAAAAAATTATCAGGAATCACAGAAATCCAGTTGCCTGAATTGTACTATTAGACGACGGGCTCTCTCACGACCATTTCCGAAGCCGCCGAAAAGGTTTGGTCCATCACAATGTATAGAGACTGCAGAAGCGTTTTGGCGCTTCCGTAGTAACACAGTGGGACCCGATGTGACGGGCGAGATGACTGTCGCCCTACTGCTATTTCCAGGGAATATTGTATACTGATTCCCTAGAGAGCCAGATAATTTATACACATCTAACTCATGCACTACACCAGTCGATGGTATCCACTTTCAGCAGGGTATCAATATCTTGGCATGCTTCAAGGAGTATCCGAAAGCCATACCGGCAGTGCAACGCGGAGCGGAGATGCACCGCGTGGCTATTGTTAGTATATTGAATGAAATCTGGCGGACGTATCAAGAGGATGAAGACTATCATTTCGGTCGCATGGTTAGTGAACATTTGTTTTTAATCTAATGGTGAGCATGTGCAAAGCAAATACAGCTGTCAGTGTAAACTCAAAGACTATTCCGCATACCCACAAACTGTTTGCTTCCGTACTGTTGGATGTCTTCCGCATGCACCCCAGGTCCTCTCCAAACGATCTGATAAGGAGTTCGCGATCTTAGATTCCCTCCAGCGACAGTTGGTAGTGCTCATCTTCACGCTGGAGTTGCTACGCGCAGTGAAACCCACGCCTGACGTTAGAGAGTACACAAACATTGCGTTGCAAGTGTGTAGTCAGTTTGTCATGATTCGAGGTGGGGAGGGTATCGGGTTGTTTATCAGGGGCAAGCCGACCAAGAAAGCCATGCTTCGCTGGCCACGCTTCAAGGCGATGTATAGGTATGGACGGTCTTCTGAAACCCTAAACCCTGAAATCCTAAAAATAGACAATTGCAGACGACCTGTAGGTATGCCCAGTACTGGGGACAGGAATGAATGCAACTGTGTGTGATGCTGGAACGTGTGTGATCAAATGTTGGATGATTCTTTTAATGCGCTTGTCACCTTCAAGGCGATTTATAAGTATGTATGACATTAAGAGGTGTTTAACGAGTATAGATTATGTTTGTCAACGAATGTGACAATTTCTTGAGTGTGTGAGACAATGTGACATATAAGGTCTGCATGTAGAGGTGGCTTCATTTGGCGTGCCGAGGGCCACCCGGCCGTGGTACATTACCCACGCTTCAAGTCGCTTTATGTACGATATCAGTCACATTAACATGCGCCTTGTAGGTATCTGTAGCAGTAGCAGTTATAACAGTTATATGTTTAATTCATTGTCGGATATGCGGACTTTTACCAGGGCGCTGGCTTCCAATTCCGGGACGGATAGACCCAGTAGATGGTTACGTTATTATGATATGTGTCGTTTTCCCGGCCAACGTCATCAATGAGCATATATTTTTTTTCAGAGTCAACAGCCGTAGTATATAGTCACTGTCTATACGTATGTAAGTAATTCGTCAAGGGGGTGACTGCTTGATGTGTGGTACAATTCAGTCACTATGAGTGGCTTTCTAGCGGTTGGGCTGTTATTGTCGGATTTTATCATTTCATGCGATTAGTATCCAGTTGCGCTTAAAAGCATGTAGTTTGTGTATCAGCGAACTTGGTGGTATAACAGCCTTGGCATAGCACATGTCTATGGAATACTTTCGAGTAGTTGAGTATGAATGGCGTTACCGTGGTAAAAATTGGGACTGAAAATTGGGTACGTATTCAATTTTCAATTGAGTCGGTACATATCCTTCAAGACTTTTGGCTCGTTCCTCACAGTACTATTCAGCAGTACGTGAAAAAGATGCAAGCACATCTGGAAAGCCCAGAGGGGATCAAATTTGTGGAGTACTTCCTTCGGAGGTGTCACTTCGACGCTCTTGTCATTGAACCCAAGGCATCAAGTGTGGTATGTACGTATTGCGTTTGTATTGTATAATGTGATA